TAGTTTTTTTCCCAGTCATATATGATAAGCGATAAATGATAACTGATAACATAATAAGTGATAATATATATCTCGCGCACGTGCGCGACCGGGCGGCGGTCAGGAGGGTCAGAAGGGTCAGAAGGGTCAGAAGGGTCAGAAGGGTCAGAAGGGTCAGAAGGGTTGGCGGTCTGAACATACCAAATCATACTACTCCTTACCGAAAACCAAATAATGTCGGCAAACTGACGCGTAATAGCCGTTTGAATTCAAACGGCCTTTGCGCGGAAACCCGCGCTGTCACTTCTCTGTTCAACCGCCAATCGACAACGGCCGACACCGACACGCGATAAACGCGCCTGGAAATGTCGATCGCCCGTACCGCGAACCGGCTCGTACAAAGTTAGTTCCACGGCCGCGCTCGAGTGACAACTACCGCATCACCACCGTCCTCGCACGCGCCGTTCACCACACTATTGTGTCTTTTTTTTGTTTTTTATTCCGTTCATCAAAATGAAATAAAAACCAACTACCGCACCTCTGCGACCGAAACAAAGGTGTTTTTTTTTGTGTTTCAACACTCCACTACACATATCGTTGTGGGATCCGTCCAGGATCGCCACAAAACAATAAAGGATGTCTACAGCGTTTTAAATTATGCTTCGACAATCACGGAGCAGACTTTGAACAATTTATTTAATTTATTGTGTAATTAAAAAATAACTATTGTTCACTTGTACCAGTTGTACCTAATCGATTTTTAATAAATAATGTTGTATCCATATTATGTTAGTCTTGCTTATAAGTTATAACATATATTTTTTTTTTTTTTAAATACGTACAAATATTCAAAAAGTTTTGGCTACGTAAACAACGCACTACGAGTCGTCCAAGTTGTTTACAATATTGTCAGTGAATAATGGGAAATCCCATGTTAAACTTCTATCGTCGTTTTATACCTAGAGCTTCAGCAAGATGCACAATCACCACTAAGTGATCTCTTAGTACCTAATCTAAAAGGTAAAGTTCCTATTAACTGGTCACCAGAGGCTATTACGGCGTTTGAAAAATGCAAGGAGGAACTCGCCACAGCTACGCTTCTCGCACATCCATGCGACAATGCTCGACTGGCTATTGTAAGCGATGCTTCAAACACCGCGGTTGGCGCAACTCTTCAACAGTTCATCAATAAGGAATGRCAACCTCTCGCCTTCTTTTCTAAGAAGCTTACAGTGACTGAGACAAAATACGGAGCTTACGATCGAAAACTTCTTGCAATCTATCTTGGTGWCTAACATTTTCGGCATATTATGATGGAGGGACGCGTGTTTTTTATACAGTGTGATCACAATAAGTGGAAACACTCAATAACTATGTGTAGGCTTCATATATTTCAATTCTGCTTTTTCGGCTAACTAATAAAGAGCATGCGAATGAACAGCGGCCGCCCCTATGGGGCCATCTGGCCGATGCTTAGAACGTTGATGCGGCAAAAGTAATGGCACAGAGAGGAGGGGACCCGCGTATGTCGTCGTCGTGGTCGAAATTATAGAATAATTTGAGCAAGCATCCAGTTCTTTTATTCGCGTGATGATGTCATAAACGGGCGGCCATGTAAAATTAATTGCTCCACGTGGAGCCGTTATTGTGGGTTCGATTAATTAATAAACATCAAGGACGAGTAAATATCATAACTATATTATGATAAAAACATATCATAAAAATATCATCTTAAATCGACACTATTGACCGTGCATTAAATTGCAATATTATGCATTTATAAAAAACATGATACGCTGTTCTTAGAATTGCATACGATACGGTGATAAAAATACGTATATTATGCATTTTATCTAATTTTTTTTATAAGTATTCTACTTAATATGAATTACTCGCGTCCGGTATGAACAGTAAAAACGCATATAAAAGAGCATAATGTTCAATGCATCTTCAGTACAACGTTGACACACTATACAGACCTACCCAGGCTGACTGTAAGTATGTTSGAYGGAGACAACCCCGAATGTTCGGCAATGGAATCTACATGCAAGAAGAGGAAGGYGGAGAAACCTGTTGTACCGACGAAGAAGACCAAGACGACGTCAACATCGTTGACCAACATCCCACTATTACAGATTCGGACAGCCATGGAGACAGAGAAGTTGAGTGTGGACAATTTGGTTCACGTCACTCAACTTCTGACGGATTTCAAACTGAATGTGGGCACGCAATATCACATTTCAGTTCGGATAGTTTTGATATCGCTATGGCACCCAGAACATTTTGCAACAACGATGAACCCGAAGAAATGGATGACTACGAACCTGGTACGCGACGAGAGACTGGAGGAATGCAATATGGAGGATATTCCTATGAGGGAGAGAATCAWGGCCATGTTGCTCGTGGCTCGCCCATTTATGAGCACTTGCTTCGAAGAGTTGTCGATCGACTTTGTGACATCGATTTTCGAGGCAATGATCATCGATACATCAGCGACGTTATTGTCCCCCGTGGACCTGACAGAGTTGATGAAGTTGCTAAAGAGCTACAAACTATGTTGCGACAGTTCCCTCCAAAGCTCCCAGTCATCGTCACAGCCCATGGCGACCATGTCCATTKCGTCCACGTCTGCCGACAGTCAAACTCGGCTTGTCGGTGTATATGGTTGCAACGATCCGTCCTCTATCGCCAACATGGACGACAACGCCTTCGAAGACGCGTTTGGGCGATACGCCTCACGTCGTCGGACTGGGAAAGCATCGTGTGATATTTTTCTACAGACGGCCGGGAACCCAAAMAAATTGACGGCGTCKGTTCCTATGGAGGATTACGTGATGGACGCAATTTTATACAAGTATGTGGTAAAAAGTTATTTGCAATATGTTCGYCATTCGYATYTAAAAGAAGTGTTCATGTCGACTATGGTTAAAAAATATGGTTCATCGTATTGCTTTAATGCCAATCATTTAAAAGAATATACATTTCGGACCACAGAARTTGACATTTTGTATAACAGACATTTGCCCAGTGTACGAAATTACGAAAATAAATTTCAAATTTTTCAAAATAATAAAAACTATTACGAACYGTTTGAAGCAACTCCTTTTTATATTCATTTCAATGACCTTGTTTATAGCATGTCAGATAAATTAAAAATATATGAAGGTACTAGAAAAAGACCTCAATTTTTTTTGTACCAACACTATAGGGAAAATACACGTCATAATAGAAAATTGGTGAAATTATGCTATCCGTTATTAAACCAAGCTACTTATGACCACATATTCGACCACATGTACGATCCTAATTATATGGATAATATTGACTTTTCGTAAATTTAGGAARWCGGATCTCGAAGGACTCWGGGACAYGAAGGAAATGTGGAAATATGCGTCAATGAAATGCCGAACGACGTTCCCAGAGAACTCAGTGCATTTGCAGAACATCAAGACGGCAATGCGAACCACTCTCCCGTTGATGAAGAACTCGGATACGATGAGGGAAGTTCCAATATCAAATCAGTATGCGTGTACYCAACGTCGYTAAAAAATTTGCTGTACCAGTATCCTTGTTGTCCGCCCGACGCTTTCGCGAACATCAAAGAATTTTATTTGAATAGTCGATTAAACACTATATTAGAAGAAGATAAAAAATGTAAAGTAGCTCTTAGGAATTGGTGCGCTATTATACGGGACTGGAGTATTAATGAATTCGTTGAATATTATAACAAACCTAACGTACAACCGTATTTTAACGCGTACGCTAGAGGGCCTGGAACTGTTTATTACGATATCGATAAATCCGTTTCAATAGCTWCCGAGTTATTGATGTATCAATTTGAAAACAACGAGGGTCTTATTTGTCGATTTTTGCAAACTCTAGTCAACATATTGGATAAAAAATTCCGAAAAGAAATAGCATGCTAATACATTCTCCTCTCAGCGCGGGCAAAAATTATTTTTTCGATGCCGTAGCCGCCTTTTTTTGAATTACGGTATGTTCGGAACTGCCAACAAACCGAATAATTTCAGTTTTTCTGATGGCGCCGGCAAACGTCTCGTAATTTGGAACGAACCTAATTACGAGGTGTACCATTTGGAAAAAATGAAGGAAYTATTAGGAGGGGATACCACTAGAGTGCATGTTAAATACAAAAACGATRTTCCACTACAAGGGCCTCCCATAATATTATTGACCAATCACTATTTGTCGATAATCAATGACCCGTCGTTCAAGGACCGTTTATCAGTTTACACGTGGATTAACGCACCATTCCTAAAAATGTATAATAAAAAACTGTCTCCGTTATTTTTTATCATTTATTAAATAAATACAATATTACATATTATTGAATCGTGTTTTATTATTTACTAATTATTCTATTGTTACAAATTGATTGTACATCGACGACAAATCGTCACRGAAAAAGTATTGCCCCTGTGTAGTAGATAAATTATGGTGCATCACACCGTCTTCGAATGGAATATGAATTTTCTCAAAGTGTGTGAATTGGAACGGTGCTCCGAATTCAACAACCATTTCAGTRTTGACCTCAAACACGACTTCAATGTCAGTGAAACTGCTAGGTTTTATTGCTTGACTAGTAGTAGTCAATCTGTGTACCGCATAGATGCCCACGTGCAGTGACGGTTGTTTTTCGACTGCGCTGTCATCACCGTGACGCCATATGTATTGACCGCATTCCAATGGTCTAAAATAACTTTGCTATCGAACAATTTCGTGTAAGTATCATCTCGTAGTTCTTTGGTCTCCGTATCGTTTACTTTTTCCGTATTTTTACCAATTTTGATTTGTGCGAATCCAGCTCTTCGGTTTTTTTTGTTCACCATAATAACGGTGTCATTCCCTGTAATCGATTTTCCGGAAATCTCGTTAAAAACTCCTTCTATCGGTTTTCCCAACAATCCCAATTTAGGGCTGTAAGAATACTCGGCAACAGTTTT